GGCCGGTGTCCTGAAGAGTTTAGCTCCAACCCCAATTAAACACACCTGAACCAGCTAATCAAGCTCTTACTAGGCATACTAGAAACTTGAAGGCAGGTGTGTTGAGGCAAGTTGGAGCTAAACTCTGCAGGACACCGGCCCTCCAGGACCGAGTTTGGGCACCCCTGTCCTAGACTGTTTGTCCAAAATTGGCTCAGATCATCTTCAAAGCTTTCTGGCAAAAAGTCATCAAAAACTTTTTGATATACCAAACTGTTTTCGTAGTTTATGCAAAAATGGACATGAGGCTGGATCTCTGCAAAGCGGATTCTGACCAAACTTGGTATGTGTTATAACAAGCATGACCTGAGGGCACATGAGTAGTTTCGGCACAGCGCCACCTACTGGTCAAAAGATATTAAAAATGGACATTTCTGCTTATAACTTCTGACCAGTTTGGCCAAAAATCATTAGATCCTCATCAGACTCGGAACAGCATACCGAATCGAACGATACCTAATTTTCCTATGTTGGCCTTTTTGGGCATCGGCTATTTTGAGTTTTGTAGTAAAATGCTGTATCAACAAATGTCTTTAACAGGGGTCTCCAACCATGCTCCTGGAGAGCTACCAGCTTCAACCCTATTCAAACACACCTGAACCAGCTAATCAAGGTGTTCAGGGCTACTTAATTACACACAGGTGTGTTGAAGCAGGGTTGGAACTTTAGGGTGCTTTCACACTAGCACTTTTGATGCGCACCCGGGTTCGATTGACGTCAGAGTTCGGTACGTTTGGATGATGTGAATGCTGTCTTCCGAACTCGGGTGCGCACCCACGAACCATACCCGAGTCCGCTTAAAAAGGGTGGTCTGGGGTACGGTTCAAGTGAACTCTGGTACGGTTCGCTGCTGATGTGAACGCAATCGTACCAAATCACGGAAGTGAACCGCTATTAATGACGTATTATTTGATAAAATGTGTTTGTGTGTGTTTCACTCACTTTCCTGACGCGCTGCAAGCAGAGAGCTGTATATCTCATTTCTATTCGCCTTCAGAGTTCTTTAGAGCATTTGCATAAGGCAGACGTAAGTGCCATTATGTACTGAAGCTTTGGAAACAAAACCAACGGTTCAAAAACATAAATATAAAATTGAAGAGAGCCTTGCTACGCATTTTGCCGTCTTCTCCTGCGCCATCGTTACTAAGCAACGGGGTAAACAGCTGCTGGCTTGATGACGCAAATGAACCGCGGTCCGGACCCAAATAATATAATGTGAACACAGTCCAGCGGGGGCAGGGGGAGCAATCGAACTCGGGTTCGGACCAAGCAATCGAACCAAGTGTGAAAGCAGCCTTAGTCTGCTGGAAGGTTGCTCTCCAGGAGCAGGTTTGGAGAACCCTGGTCTTTACTGAGTAATTAAAGACAGCTCCTTAGCTCTTCATTTACCTGTTGTGCTTGGCCTCTTAATTGCTGCTTGCAGCTATATTTGTAAAGTGTTACCATTGTCTCTTTGAACAAAATCTTGAAATTCAGGTTATTCTGAAGGTTATTCCTGGTTATAAGTAAACCGTGAGTCACTTTGGATAAAAGCATCAACTAAATAACTAATGATTGATTGTAGGGCTGGAGCTTCAGGTTTTTATTCTTGCTGTTTGGATCTAAATGTCTAACACTGAATTTCAGTACATGAACGGGCCGCCACTGGGAGATGAGCAGTCGCCGTTACCTAAAGATTATCTGGTTGAGTCTCTGCTGGTGACCATCTTCTGCTGTATCATGAGCGGCCTCGTCGCTGTCATGTACTCATATGAAGTGAGCACCTGAAACACAACGCATTAGTACAAAGACATACGAGTACAAATAATATAGTGATACTCATTAATGATGACCTCTGACCTCTCTACAGACCCGTGCGGCGCTGACCAGGGGTGACATCCGTGAAGCTGAGAAAACATCCCAGAAGGCTCGTCTGCTTGTCATGTTCAGTTTGATGTTCGGCACATTTGTTTTTGTGGGCTGGATTATTTATGTAGTGATAGTGCTCTGTGCATAGAAACTTTCTTCTGCATTTATTTGATCAAAAATACAGTAAAAACAGGTAAATATTATTAGAGTTTAAAATAACTGTTTTCTATGTGAATAAATTGTAAAATGTAATTTATTTCTGTGATCAAAGCTGAATTTTCAGCATCATTACTCCAGTCTTCAGTGTCACATGATCCTTCAGAAATCATTCTAATATGCTGATTTGCTGCAATTGTGCTGCCGAATATTTTTGTAGAAACCGTGATACATTTTTCAGGATTCTTTGATGAATAGAAAGTTGAAGAGGACAGCATTGATTTGACTTAGAAATCTTTTGATATTATAAATATCTTTACTGTCACTTATGATCCTTTTAAGGCATCCTTGCTGAATAAAAGTATTAATTTCTTTAAAAAAAATACTTACACTCAACTTTCAAACGGTGGTGTAATTGCTGAGAAAAAAAACTAAGATGTTGTTTGAAGGTACACTATTACTTCTCATTCTTTACTGCTATTCTAAAATGAGGAAAATGGTACTAATAGTCATGAAAACTCACCCAAATGGAAGTATGAGAACTCTATACTGATCAAAATGTCATTTAAACATTTGATTCTTTGTGTACAATATGCTGTAAATGCAGACAGAACTGAAACTCCTGTATAGCAGTACAAGTGAAAAGCACAAAGTGTTGTATTTAAATATTAATGTCTTACATGTTAAACAGATTCAACCCTGATTTTATTGCATCATGTTCTATGATATGTACTTTCAGAAGTCAATCATTTATATAGAGTTTGTATTTACATTCAACTACATGCATTTGTTCCTGAAACAGGAAATGAATGACCTTCCTGTCACTGGTAATAAACCTTGTATTTTTTTTTGTTGACTTAGTTGCATAAAGACTACCATCACCTATGATTGCTAACAAATTGAATTAGGTGTACAGTCTCTAGATGTTTGTAATAAGCACTATTGTGTGAAACCTAATGTATGCATGTTGCACTGAATAAAAAGTAAACCAAAATTGATGTGTTTAAATTATCAGTAAAGACCTTGAAACCGATATATAGCAATAAAAAGGCTTTTATTGCATTATTAAGCTTGATTCTCTCCACATGGATTGGAGAGATGCCATTAAATACAATGAAGAGCAAAAGAGCAAAAGAGCAAAAAAGCTGGAAGAACAAGAAATGACCAAAAGAGGGCGTCATAGACAAGAGCTTCCTCTCAGAAGAAAAGAAATTTCCATGTTGGTTTACATGGGTTCATTTCTTCACGAGTTCAGTTTTTGGCCATTATACGTACATAAACCACAATGATTTACAATAAAGATAAAAAATAAAATTAAAAAAATCATAAGTAAAATAAAACAATAAATACTGCACATTGAACACAATATCTAAATAATGTTTAGCTGCACTTTGACAATAATAAAATAAATAAACAGAAATTAAGCTATGGAGCAAACTATAAACTAAGAAAGGTCTAAAATTAATTTAAAATAAATATATTAATAGGTGTCATATAAAACAGGTTGTGCAGTGCAGTGCAGTTCATTATGGCATAAATCAATCAAGTATGCTTTAAATCAACACACATCGAGCAACCTTGGGTTTCAGAAATTATGTACTACAGTAATAAGTAATAATAAAATTGTATTGTTATTATTATTATAAAGTACATCAGTCAGAATAATTTGAGAGGTTATGAAACTCATGCATTGCTCTATAGCTGTGATCTCCAGTGTTGCTATTGAGACATAAAAACAGAGCAAAACATTTAAATCAGTAGACGAGACAAAGGAATAGTTCACGCAAAAATGAAAGTTTGTTAAAAACTTCAGAGATGTAGATGAGTTTGTTTCATCATCATATTTGGAGAAATCTACAGTGGAGATCAAAATTAGAGAACAATCTACATTTTCCTAAATTTCAAGGTCACTGCTTAGTCCTATTTGAAGTTATCCTAACAGGAGTAGAAGGGCCGTTTTTTAAGCATATTTCATAAATTAATTGTATTCTGAAGCACAGTATAAAAAACGTAAAAGAGATATTTGAAAAAGTACTCTGATCAAAATTAGAGCACTTACAGATTCCTCCATGTTATTGATGTTAATCTGGCACCTGGTGCTAATTTTCTTAATTATATGACAAACCCTATTTACAGTGGGGGAAATATTTATTTGATCCCCTGCTGATTAGGGGATCAAATACTTATTTCACTCACTGAAATGCAAATCAATTTCTAACCTTTATATAATGTGTTTTTTCTGGTGTTTTGGTTGATATTCTGTCTCTGTCCGTTAAAATAAACCTACCATAAAAATTACAGACCCTTCATTTCTTTGTAAGTGGGCAAACTTACAAAATCAGCAGGGGATCAAATAAATATTTCCCCCACTGTAACTAGCAACATTATTCCCATTTTCACTGAGATTGCAAGATGGCAGGCCGCTCTAAGGTGACTGAAAGCCTGCTACAGGAGGTTATCCAAATGAAGGCCAAAGGGATGACCTTTTCAGCCACTGCAAGAGAAGCTGGTCCTTCCAAATCTGTGATTTCTAGAATATTGAAACACCAAATACACAAAATACTGTTCTTTTTAGCAACATCATATGACCCCTTTAAGAGAAGTCAGACTGAAAGCACACTCTGCAGTGATGAAGCCTCTCATCAGACTCATCTTTGCTGAGGAGCATGTTGTGTGGAGAGAGGAGAACTGGTCCAAAGTTCACTTTAGTGATGAGAGCAAGTTTAATTTATTTAGGTCTGATGGGAAACATTTTGTTCGGCATCAAACCTGTTGAAAGACTGAACCCGAGTGTGTAAAGAAGTCAGTGAAAGGTGGAGGAGGAAGTGTCATGGTTTGGGGATGTTTTCTGCAGCAGGAGTTTGGTCTCTTATACAGATACGTGGCAGGTGAATGCAAATGTTTATCAGAACCTCCTTCAGCAACATGCAGTCCCTTCCTGCAAGCATCTCCCAATCAGCCTGCAATTTTCATGCAAGACAATGCTCCCGTCACACTGCAAAACAGGTAAAGCAGTTCCTTGAAGCCAAGAACACTGAAATAATGAAATGGCCGGCCGAAAGTCCTGATCTAAACCAGATTGAAAATCTCTGGAAAATTCTTGGAGACAAAGTTATGGCTAAGAAACTACACTACAGTCACTGAACTATGAAAGAGAGTGGAAGAAAAGTGGACCAAGATCACAGCAGCGCAGTGTGAGAGACTAGTGCTGTCCTGCAGCCGCAAATTAGCTGAAGTCATTCAAAGCAGGGCTTCTAAACTTCCTACTCATTTCTGACAGCTGTAACCCTCCAAAATTTTTGTTGTAATCTTCTTTCCTGCTACAGTGATTACTATTTGGTAGGCCTGTCGCAATAATCAATATATCGACTTGTCGCACAATAGATGTACATGACCTCAATAATTTTTGGTGACGCAATATACTGCCCATTATATTTACATAAAAATTAATGTCACCATGTTTCTTGCATTCCACTTGCGCCTGTGTCTTTTGCAGCTTCTCGAACATAACGTGGTGTAGTTGGTGCTAGTTCAAATTTTAAAAAATGCTTCTACAAACAAAGTTTCATCTGCAGATATGGTCTTTTGGTGACGCAATATATTGCCCATTATATTTACATAAAAATTAATGTCACCATGTTTCTTGCATTCCACTTGCGCCTGTGTCTTTTGCAGCATCTCGAACATAACGTGGTGTAGTTGGTGCTAGTTCAAATTTTCTCCAAATCTGATGAAGAAACAAACTTATCTACATCTTGGATGGCCTGAGGATGAGGAAATTTTAAACAAATGTAATTTTTGGGTGAACTATTCCTTTAAAAGAACAATGGAATGTGGCAACAGCACATTTCAAAACAACAATAGTTACAGTAAAACTCTGTAAATCATGTCAAAATGGGCCTTAAGATGGAGATACTTCATATGATTTGTTTACATTTTGTCTAATTAAAAGAGTTTTCAAAACAATACTAACTTAAGTGGCACTTAAAGCAAAGCAAATGTAAATTTTCTGAGCATGAGCAGGTATTATTGCACTGTTGTTCCTCATGCAAGAAAAAAAATTGCAGATGAAGAATTTAAGGCTGGAGATCAACATACATATTCTGATCTCTATCACATGGACACTCCATGGAAATTTTATAACAGATGCTGTAGACATTATGTACCGTAATGCACGCTGAGCTTGTTACATTACATCTGTCTGTATGAGATGCGGTTAAGGCCATGTTTAATTTTGGCTTATGGAGGTCTGCTAGTAAACAAAATCGCCAAACAGTGCAAATATTATAGAGCTTAGACGGCTTAGATGACATTTGAATGTTTAAAATTGAGCTTATATATGTCATCAGCTCCAGAACAAGCTGAGTTAAGATTGTTATCTGTATACTGAAGGCAAAAAAGACATTCTGACTGATCACAGAACAGTTTTTAGTGTAGAAAACAGGCACATACATACATGTGTTCGCAATGAGAGGATGTTTCAGGCATTTTGTGAATCAAATATTAGTTCTGAGGTTTGTTTTTTAGTGGTGAGTATTTGTGTGATTTAGTGATTTTAAAAAACAATATATGTTCTATGAATTATAATGCTGACTAATCCCACTATTTAATAATTCATAAGGGTTTGATTTTTAGTATTAATAAAAAGGGATGGATTAATATTAAAATCAAACAGAAAAATTAAGCCAAGTCAATCAGTATCTCCTTGACATGCATGAAAATACACAATATTTGCTTTTCAGTAAATAGATGCACACATGGGTTGATCTCATAAGTGTCCATGATTCTATTTGCTCATTGCTGAGTGTTAAGGGTGGAAACTGTGTGCGTGTGTGTGTGTGTGTGTCTCGCCTCTTTAGCTCAACAGCTCCAGATATGTAACAGATGATTTCAAGTCAATTTTATGTCATCATTATGACACTGTGTCATGGTTTCAAATTTTTATTTCAAAATCATGATTTACCAAAGCATGTTTTTTCCCCCTTATATAGTAGAAATTGGCTTCCAAACATTTACCTACAGAATAATAGTT